ATATTAAACATATGAATAAACAATTCTCCACGATGTACATTCATCCCAAGTTTCTATCAACTAATTCCTGATTTATTATTAAATTATTTAACCTATTTATCCTGGAAATAATCATAACGTCGGCATATAAACTTGCATGTCTACTCTATATTAGTTACATTTGTTCTATTTTATATCAAAATTCTAGAAAGTGATATATTACAATACAAAGGCATAAGCTAACAATGCCTGACTGCCTTTATAAATGACTATGTTAATTGGCATATTAAATCGTTGGAGAATGTGAATATATCATTTTATAACCTAACGGTCATTTCCAGGACACAAACCATTATTTGTAACAATATCATATTAAACACATGAATAAATAATTCTCCACGATGTACATTCATCCCAAGCTTCTATTAACTAATTCCTGATTTTATTTAATTGTTTAACCTATTTATCCTGGAAGTAATCATAACGTTGACACATAAACTGGTCTGTTCTATATGAGTTATGTATTCCTTCATTCTTTTTTATATCAAAATTGTTACATCACGAAAAGACACGAGTCAATGCCTGATCACATTTACAAATACCTACGTTAAGTGCGACACATTAAATCATTGTAATAAATGAAAATATCATTTTATGGCCTAATGTATGTTTCCAGGACACAAGCAATTTCTCATACATAATATCATATTAAACACATGAATAAACATTTCTCCTCAATGTACATTAATATACATTTGGTAAGTCTTTATGTTACGATTTTTTTTGTGCGTTGACTGAAGTTTAAGTTTACGTACGGAGTTAAATTTACGATCTATACTTAACGTAACGTAATGCGATACGGAACACCTTGTACGGAGGCACGAGTAAACATACAGTATATTTAAAAGTAATGAAAAAAAGATATTCGAATATGAGGACCTGTGTGGTCTTGCACGCTGCGTCGCAGACTCGCCGTGGGTGAGAAGTAGAGCGGCGCGGGTTCGAGACCACACAGGTCCCAGTGGGGAATACAGGGAGTAGGGTGAGAGAGAGGGAGTTAACTTAGAAATGGGTGAATCGATGCGTGTAAATGATAAACTGAGAATAAGGGTACGAGATTGCAGCCGTGAGATCAATGTGCTCAGCGTTAATTGAGAGAAGAAAAAGGTACGGGTTTGCAGCCGAAAAAGAAGAGTAAAGAGGAAGCTGGGAAACCTAAAAATGAGCTCAGCGATAATAAAGAGAGGACAGAGTACAAGATTGCGACCGAGATGAAGAATGAAGAGGAAGTTGGAAAAAGAAGTGAAGGAAAAGAAAGAACGGTCATGGGTTGATGAAGGAGAGAGAAAAGATTGCGAGGTGGAACGAGGTGATTCTGAAGAAAAAGAAGAGGGTCGTTGAAGTAACAAAAGAAAGCGGGGGGAGGGGGTTGGGTAGAAGAGCGGGAAGGAAAGAAGAGGGGGAAAAGGAAAACGGGAACAAAAAAGAAGCGGGGACAAGGAAGAAGGGATAAAAGGACAGAAGAAGCGCAGGATCAAAAAGGAGAAGAGGGAATAGGAGGAGAAGAGTAAAGGGAAGGAATAAAGTACAAGTGGGGTTTAGGTTAAGAAAAGGAGTAGGGTTAAGAGATGAAAAAGAGAGACGTAATCAAGCTCTGGTTATATAGAGTTATGTTATTGTAAGTTGTATTGTATTGTAGAGATTGTAACCCCAAGGGGAAACAATAAAATTAGAACAATAAAATTAAAAAAAAAAGATATTTGAATATTTGAATGTTTAAAAAGAATTACATATATTTTATGTTTGTCCTGGAAAATACCATTATACATAGAATTTTTCCAGGACAGTCCTGGAAATCACCATTGTCCTTAAAACTGTCATTATGCAAGTGTCTTGGAAAAATTTTTTAAATGTAATACTCGTATCTCAAAAACGGAAAAAAATATCTAATTTTTTAAGATGAAAATGAGTTTGAATTTTAATGCTTTATTAAAATTCAGTAAAAAAATATGAGATTTCTAAATGTCCCGGAACAAACCCTTTGACATATATACATATACAGGGTGATTCAAAATAATCCCTGTGTCCGTGAAATGACACATTGTTGAGTCAATTCTAAGACGATTTTTCATTTTGCAAAATTTCGTCCGAAGCTTAGTTTTCGAATTATTAAAGAAAGAAGTTAACGCATGACGGGTCGGATACAAGAGGCAGGCAAGGATGACGCGAGACCCGTCAGACGCGGGCGCTTACGCGGGGCGCCTGCGATCAGCTGGTCGCTATACACACAGACACACATGCGACACATACATTCTCTCTCTGTCTGCTGTCTGTCTGTCTGTCTGTCTCTCTCTCTTTCTCTCTCTCTCTCTCTCTTTCATTCGCTCACTCTCTCTCACGTGTATTTTTTTTTTTTTTTTTTTTTACGAGAGGGGAAAATGCATTTTATGCATACCCACCGGTCGATCCAGTGAGTTATGTGGGACTCGAGTACCAAGTCGAATTACCAACTCGGTACTCCCTACCCACTAAAAACCCCTCTCTTTTCGCGAATTTTCTTTGACACACTGTCCCTCTGTCCTTCCCGAGATCCGTTTTCACATAACGTTAAAAAATAGTTATTATTACCTTGTTCGATGACTTCTGATGTATTGCTGTAATTGCTTGAAGGAGAAATGAATTTTCCGATAGATCGTACGTTCTCAAATTTAACGTAGATATCACGTTGCACAAGACAGAAATCCACACTAAATTATTAACTGAAAGTTTTTCTTCTTTTATGAACTGCATTCTTTTATAAACTTTAACGTAATCACATTTATTTATTCACTCGATGAGACGAGAAATTTACTGATGACTCTATCACTAATCACTGTCGAATAATAATTGTTGGCGATTAAAAATCACTCGATGAAAGAAACACGCGCGGACACGTTACTACACGACGCGACAATACGACGATAATTACTCGGCGATTGCAAGTACCGCTGCTTCCTTGTCATGGTAGGTTGCAGTAGGTTAAGGTACTACTGGCGCTATCGAACGCGATCATGTGTTTCGATTGAAGAATGCGTGGTAGACGTAAAGAATAAACATTTAACATATTAATATTATTATCATGAATGTGTGTGATGTCCATACATCGTATGATATCTATTTAAAAATTAATTAGATTAAATAAGTGTTTTTAAAATATTTATTACTTTTATACACCCATATTAAATATTAATATTAAATATTTATTTAATTATTTTATCTATATTATTTACTATTTTATTTAACTATTTTATTTAACTATTTTATCTTTAACTATTCTATTTATTTATTTATCTATTTCATCTATTTATTTTTAACTATTTATTATCAATGATCGAAAATCGATGGATAAATTAAAATGGCTCACCCTGTATGTATATGTATATATATATATATATATATATATATATATACACAGGGTATTCGAAAGATAAGATATATATATATATATATATATATATATATATATATACACAGGGTATTCGAAAGATAAGATATATATATATATATATATATATATATATATATATATTTCTGACATAATGACATTTGATTACGAGAAAATATATCACATAGCGGTAAGCGAGGAAATTATCGAATCAAATACAGATTACCAATTTGCCAGATCACGCATCCTGTTTGGCAAAATTCTGTTCCATTTCTGCCGTTAATCTGCAGTCAAATTATGCGCACACAGTTCCTGCTTGGTTTCTGCCGACAATCTGTCAGATTCTGTGAGCAGGCTCTGCTCGAATTTTGACATCAATTGTCAAATATTTGTCAACTTAATAAATAATAATAGCTTCAGTACCAAATTTGTAGCCTTTTTGCTAACATTAGTTGATAAGAGACACTTGGCATGATCTGCTTTCTACAGACTTTGCTATCTGGGAATTATCTGAAATGACATGTGCATACCATAAAAATCAATATTTTAATATTTTATTTTAAATATTTTTTAAAATCTTTCTTTTCATTCTTGTCTTTTCAAATGATTAAGTCATCAATTTTTCCTCGAAATTATTTATTTCTCCTCAACATTATTTTGTGCTTTAACAAATGACAGAGATGTATTCTAGACATTTTTATAATATGTAGAACATCTTTTATATGTATAATATAATGAAGAAATAATGATTATGAAGAAATATATATTTTGAAATGATTTAATATTTTCTATAGAAAATTTTCTATATAAAAAAATGATTGATGATTTCTACATTATTATCAAAATCACATTTATTTAAGCACATAATTATTCATTTGCTATGTTTATTTAAAGGATGTCATTAGAAATTTAAATGCAAATGATGATGGAATGATACATGATGATTATCTAGATCAGAGTTTACTTGTAACTTTTGGCCAGATTTCTTAGTTTACGCCTACTGTTTCCCTCTTACCATTCGCGTCGCTTGTAACTAAGGAGCGCTCAGAAACATGCGCGTCACAAATGTAATGTGACAATATATCTATCTAAGTTCTCTTTATTGTAATTACGTTTCAAAACACAAATATTTTAAATTGTTACAGAACATATACGTAATTAATAATGGAATAATTATTTTTATTAGTAATAAAGAGAATTTAGATAGATGCCACATTATATTTGTGACGCGCACGTTCCTGAGCACTCCTTAGTTACGAGCGTCTGGCAGCACGGTTGCTAAAGCGCGAGCGGTAAGAGGGGAACAGTAGACATAAGCTAAGAAATCTGCAAGTAAAGGCCGAAAGTTGCAAGGAAATCGCAGCACTAATCTAGATGTTACTTTTTCTTTTTTTCACATTACCATTTTTATTCATTTTTTCTATATTTGTATAAATCAATCTTTTCATAATAGACTTACAAATAATATTGAATATACTTATTATTGAAAAGACGATGATTTTTTTATATTATATATGCGAAATTAATATAATGCAAAATTATAAAACATTATTACAATTTTAACGATTTATAATTGATTTTTATGTGTATGTTGCAGGTAGATCGCGCGAGATTGTAGACGAAGGATTCAGAAGAGAATTTAGGTAAAGACTCTTTTTTATGTATTTCAATATAAATTGATAAATCATTTTCTTATATTCTTTTTACAATATGTTTAATATAAAATAAATATGATATATATATATATATATATATATATATATATATATATATATACAGGGTGTCCCATTTTAATCTATCCAATCGAATATCTCGAAAACCAAGCTTGAAAGAGAAAAATGTTTCAGACAAAAGTTGTATGGTTTCTAGATGGACAGTAAGATGGTACCATTGGTTTGACCTTGAAGAATTTGAAGGTCACATGAAGGTTACCTTCAATTTCTTAAATGGAATCTACATTTTCTCATTACATATTCTTGTAGCTTATCTCGAGAGCTTTCCAAAACACTATAATAAAATATTTTTTTATTGAGTACTTTTCGAGTTATGAAGCTTGAAATCATTTCTTAATTTAACATAAACCGTAATATATCTAGTAAAATATTCATTTTTCGATTATCTTGCTTTAATACTTTTATGTACAAAATAATGAGAGAAATCAATTGGTGTAAGGAAAACACATAGTTATTTTTAAGAAAAAATATGTAATTTGCAATTAACAATTACATATTTTTTCTTTGAAACAACTATAAGTTTTTTTTACACCATTGATTTCTTTCATTATTTTGTACATAAAAGTATTAAAGCAAGATAATCGAAAAATGAATATTTTACTAGATATATTACAGTTTATGTTAAATTAAGAAATGATTTCAAGCCTCATAACTCGAAAAGTACTCAATAAAAAAATATTTTATTATAGTGTTTTGGAAAGCTCTCGAGATAAGCTACAAGAATATGTAATGAGAAAATGTAGATTCCATTTAAGAAATTGAAGGTGACCTTCATGTGACCTTCAAATAACTCTTCAAGGTCAAACCAATGGTACCATCTTATGTCCCCCTAGAAACCATACAACTTTTGTCTGAAACATTTTTCTCTTTCAAGCTTGGTTTTCGAGATATTCGATTGGATGGATTAAAATGGGACACCCTGTATATATATGTTGTCGCTCAATATCATTTTTAAAGCAAAACAGTAAAATTTTGACTCTCAAAAATAAAAAAGAAATTAATTTATTATTGAAATAATATGTATGTAGATAAAAGGTTCATCATAAAATCAATAATAACACAGGCCTGCGAGAGTCAGTTACAAAAAGCAGAGTAGGTGAGTTTGATAGATTTTTTGATGCTGAAAACGAATTTGACGGTAGAATTTTCCTAGCACGTTAGGTTTTAAGTAATTTGTAATTAAATGGTCCAAAAATGGCTATTTTAGTCATGAATATTTATATATATGCTATTTCATGAATTTATTATGAGGAAACTTAATTTTCTGAAATATTTTTGACAATGCATCATATAGTACTAGTCTTTACCTTTCAAATCCGTTTTCGATTGCCTTTGTAGAATTTTTTTTCGCTAAGATATACAAGTATAAAATTATCAGAAAATTTACGTTAAAGAAAATGTACATAGAAATATGGCAGAGCCATCATCTTGAAATTTAAAAATTTACATCTGTCGAAACACTAAAGAATGTATCGAATGCACTACACGAACGAAACCAAAACCAATTAGAACGGTGCGATTATTACGAGTGTTAATTACGATCCATCCAAGCGCGGCGCGAAATCAATGGCCTTACAATACTCAGTCGTCTCACCTAAGAGTCTCGGAAAATCTTACTGTAGCAACAGCGGGTGTGGAGGCTCGGGCTCTATGTTCTTTCTTATTGAAAGCTTGAACAATGAAGAACGGAAAGCCCACGGAAGACACAACAGTAGCGCATTATCCTGATCCTTGCGTGGCAGATCCTGATTGGCGTAGGATCGTGTCGCGCTTCTCGTTGTTATCAGCTGGCATAGCCGTAATTAGGTTTTTCCGGCCGCAGGGCTTCTAGCCATTCATAAGCGAAATTTATGGCAACGTTCGCTCTCGCTCTGCCAGGATCTCTTTCGTGCCCAAGACATCCGTCTGCTGACATCTTGCCAGTCGCTCACGTAATCCTGACCATATTTCAGAGTCCGGGTCAGAGTTGATATAGGGATGCTCCATATCTGGATTTCTCACGTGTCCTTTTGTACAGAGTGGCCGTCCCCTCATCGACTTTACAAGTTTGACCTCTCCTTGGGAACCCTCTTGGCTGCCGGGAATAATTAATAGAATTAATGCACCTCAAAATGCATCGTTTCCCGGCGAACACCGGCCGGAAGATGCTGCCCGACGACCACCGGTCGAGCAACGGCAGAGGGCGTCCACATTTTTAATCTTGTAGAAAACTATCGGGCAGGACAGCGATAATTGTAATCGCAACACTGCCGTCGGGAACCGCCGTTTGAGAACCCTCGCGCGGCATCCCCAACTGCCCCGAGCGGACCCGAACCGCTCCGATATTTTTACTGCCACTCGGTGGGAGTAATTACCGAATACGCCGGCGCGGGATAATTAACCGGGTATAAAATAGGCTCTCGGCGGCATATGGACACAGATCCTTCCGATTCTTTTCAGAGGCGACAGCTAGTCCGAAGGCAAGCTAAGCTAAAGAGAACTCCGAAGCGAATTCCAAGAGTCAGAGGGTAATGAGAACGCTGCCTCGTAACGATGCGCGGCCGAACTAAGTTAACCGCGTTATTTAAATAATTAACATTACCGGACCATCTTGAAAGGGCTGCTTTCAATAAAGAATATATCGATAGTAATAAGTGAATATAAGAACTAACGCATATAGATACGCAAGTAAATTAAATTATAGTAATTAAACAGATAAATGATATAACTGATTATAGACTGAACAATAAACGTAATGCTTAATGGAAACTTAAATCTAAGAGTTCGTGAGTACAATCTGATCGATCCATCTGATATCCATTTAACAAAGGCAAAGGGCACACTTTAGTTACTGCTCTTTTAAAACAGCCAGATTGCGTCTTCATCGTCACCACTCGTATTTGACCATCGACACTTGGATGAGTGTTATTCTGTCCAAAGGCCACCGCAGGTGGTGGGACGCTATCTTCTATGAGTAAAACAAGCGTGTTCAGCTCAATATGAATACCAGGGATATTCTGTTTACTCTTTTTTTGTAACTCTTGCAAATATTCATGTTGCCAATGTTTTCACAATAATTGGCAAGATTTCTTGAGGTGCTGCCAATGAGATAAATGATTATCTGGAGTATTAAGAAAATTATAATTAACAGGTTGTATTAGTGAATCGCCTATTAGAAATGAGAAGGAGTAAGGATATCAAAGTCTGAAGAGGCGTTCGTTAACGGAGTTAAGGATCGAGAGTTTAACATGACTTCTATTTCTGTGATTAACGTATTATATTCTTCATACGTAAGAATTCTGCTTGCCATGATGCTATGAAGATATTTCTTCATTATCTTAACGGTCGCTTTCCACAAACCTCCGAAGTGGAGGGCTCTTGGTGAAATAAAGCTCCAGTTTATCCGTTGTTTGACTAAGAAGGAAACTATGGTAAATGTTTACTTTACGTCACACAGCTCGAAACATTTTTATTTTCATATATGTTGTAGAAGATACATTCCTAAGTAATACACCGTTTGAGTTTTGTGGCGCTCTCTCTCTTCGTTCCTGAGATATGCAATTTTGTCTTCTACAATATATCTGAAAATAAAAATTTTTCGAGCTGTATGACGTAAAGTAAACATTTACCCCTTCTAGGCAGAATTATAGGATGCTTTTGATCTTCAGATATATTTGCATGTCTTAGTCTCCCGCCAACGCGAATTAATCCATCCTTGCCAATAAATAGACAGAGTGATATCAGCGAGTTTTTTCGCGGTAAATTGCGCTTATTCTTCAAACACAACAACTCTTGCTTGAATTCCGTTTCTTAAATCCATTTTAATATAATTGTTTCTGGTCTGATTATCTCATGCACGTTCAGAGGTCAAAATTTTGTCTTCTGAACTGCCTCGATTTGTCTTGAGTTCTTTTTTTGATTATTCTTTGATTTACTGATAAATCTGTAACAATATGCGATAATTCTGCATAATTTACCAAATGAAGAATATTTATGTAACAATTGATTATAGACTTATAGACGATTGCATAGCTGTAGTAGTAGAGTAAGTAGAGTAACATTGGAAATGTTACTCATTAAATTATATAAAGATCCTTTAAAAAAGTCTTATCATTTGAATATAGTTTATAAGATCGAATGCATTGATTGCCCTGCATCTCATGTTGGTCAGACTGGCCGTCAACTATCAACTAGAATAAAAGAACATAAGGCCAACATTAAAATAATGATAATTTTTCGGTTATTTCCTTCCACAGATTAACGGGACATGAGTTCAATTGGGATGGGGTATTAATATTAGATGAGGAGCCTTCTTATAGAAGGAGATCCTATTATTAATAATTTTATATAAATAATCTCATTTTTCTTCCTTTTGAAATTTTTGTATCATCCTAGCAATGCCATCTAACTGTACACATTTCTATTATTTCTCTGTCTATCCTTCTCACATCTTTCACCGCTGCCTTACGCAGTCGCTCTTGAGACCATACACGAGTTACATCTCTGCTCTATTGTTCTTCCTCTTACTTTTATATCTTTATATATATTTTTGATTCTTGCTGTATCACGAATTTCATGTATTTTATTATTTATTGCCTTTAATTTATCTCTTGTGTTATTTTATTAATTATAGCTACGCTTTTACTCTTGTCTATGTGTTGCGAGAATGTGTGTTGTTCTGTTTTTTCTTTTACAGATTATTCAGTTAACTCTTTTGGACTTCTCTTCCATTAATTTTTCCTTTCTTCTGTTCGCAAAATTATTGCTTTTTTCTATATTAATCATCTTATTCGAAGACACATCATCTCTCACGCTTACATCATGTGATATTTGTGGACGGTTTGGACTTTTTTACCAGTTTAAGGGAACTGGCAGGTGAGCAACACACATTGCCGTCGCATGTTCTTTTATTTTAATTTTATAAGTTTGCT